AAGAAAAGAGACAGAGAAAGACAGAAAGAGATGAAGACAGAGAGAGAAAAGAAGCAGATGAAGACAGAGAGAAAAGAAAGAAGAGAGAGAGAGAAAAGAAGCAGGTGAAAACAGAGAAAGACAAGAAGAGATAAGAAAAAGAAGAGAGAGAGAGAAAGAAAGAAGAGAGAAGACAGAGAGGAGAAAGAGAGATGAAGACAGAAAGAGAAAAAGAAGACAGATGAAAAGAAGAGAGAGAGAAAGACAGAGAGAGAGAGAAAAGAAAGATGAAAAGAGAAAGATGGGTGACAGAGAGAGAGAAGAGATGAAGACAGAGAGAAAAGAAGAATGAAGACAGAGAGAAAAAGAGAGAAAGATAGAGAGGCAGGAAAAGAGAGAGAGAAAGACAGAAAGAGATAAGACAATGAAAGAAGAGAGAGAAAGACAGAAAGAGATAAGAAATGAGAGAGAGAAAAAGACAGAAAGAGAAAAAAGAATGAGGAAGAGAGAGAGAAAAGAAGAGATAAGCAATGCAGAAGAGAGAGAGACAGAAAGAGAAAAGAAGCAGATGAAGACAGAGAGAGAAGAAAGAGATGACAGACAAAGAGAGAGAGAGAGAGAGATAAGAAAAAGGAAAAGAGAGAGAAAGACAGAAAGAGATAAGAAGCAATGAGAGAGAGAGAAAGACAGAAGAGATAAGCAATAGAGAGAAAAGAGAGAGAGAAAGACAGAAAGAGAGAGAATGAAGAGAGAGAGAGAAAGAAAGAGAAAGAGAAAAGAGGTGAGAGAAGTGAGAAAGAGAGAAAGAGAGAGAGATAAGCAATGCAGAGAGAGAGAAAGACAGAAAGAGATAAGCAATGAAACGAGAGAGAGAAAGACAGAAAAGAGAGAGAAAGACAAAAAGAGATAAGAGAGAGAGAGAGAAAGACAGAAAGAGAAAGCAATGAGAGAGAGAAAGACAGAAAGAGATAAGAATGAGGAGAGAGAGAAAGACAGAAAGAGATACAAGAGAAAGAGAGAGAGAAAGACAGAAAGAGATGCAGTAGAGAGAAAAGACAGAAAGAGATAAGCAATGAGAGAGAGAGAGACAGAAAGAGAAAGCAATGGAGAGAGAGAGAAAGACAGAAAGATAAGCAATGAGGTGAGAGAGAGAAAGACAGAAAGAGATAAGCAATGAGAGTAAAAGAGAGAGAAAGACAGAAAAAAGATAAGAATGAGGTGAGAGAGAGAAAGACAGAAAGAGATAAGCAATGAGGAGAGAGAAAGATAGATAGATAAGCAATGACAGAGAGAAAGAGAAAAGATAAGCAATGAGGTGAGAGAGAGAGAAAGAATAGAGAGAGAAAGAGAAAGAAAGAGGTGAGAGAGAAAAGACAAAAGAGATAAGAATGAGAGAGAAAGACAGAAAGAGAAGAAAGAAGAGAAGACAGAAAGAGAGAGAAAGAGAGAAAGACAGAAAGAGATAAGCAATGAGGAGAGAGAGACAGAAAGAAGAGAAAGCAATGAGGGAGAGAGAGAAAGACAGAGAGAGAGAGGGAGAGAGAGAAAGAAAGAGAGAAGCAATGAGGTGAGAGAGAGAAAGACAGAAAGAGATAAGCAATGAGGAGAGAGAGAGAAAGACAGAAAGAGATAAGAGACAGAGAGAGAAAGACAGAAAGAGATAAGCAATGAGGTGAGAGAGAGAAACAGAAAGAGATAAGCAATGCAGGGAGAGAGAAAAAGACAGAAAGAGAGAAGAGAGAGAGAAAGAAAGAGATAAGCAATGAGGAGAGAGAGAAAGACAGAAAGAGATAAAAATGAGGAGAGAAAAAGACAGAGGAGAGAGATAAAGACAAAAAGAGAGAGAGAAAGACAGAAAGAGATAAGAATGAGGAGAGAGAAAGACAGAAAGAGATAAGAATGCAGTGAGAGAGAAAGATGAAAGAGATAAGCAATGAGGAGAGAGAGAGAAAGACAGAAAGAGATAAAATGAGGAGAGGAGAGAGAGAGAATGAGAAAGAGATAAGAGAGTGAGAGAGAAAGAAGACAGAAAGAGATAAGAAGAAAAGAGAGAGAGAGAGAGAAAAGACAGAAAGAGATAAGCAATGAGGTGAGAGAGAGAAAGACAGAAAGAGAAAGCAATGAGAGAGAGAGAGAAGACAGAAAGAGAGAATGAGGAAAGAGAGAAAGACAGAAAGAGATAAGAATGAGGTGAGAGAGAAAGAGATAAGCAATGAGGTGAGAGAGAGAAAGACAGAAAGAGATAAGCAATGAGGTGAGAGAGAGAAAGACAGAAAGAGATAAGCAATGCAGTGTGAGAGAGAAAGACAGAAAGAGATAAGCAATGAGGTGAGAGAGAAAGACAGAAAGAGATAATGAGGTGAGAGAGAAAGACAGAGAGAGAATGAGAGAGAAGAAAGACAGAAAGAGATAAGCAATGCAGAGAGAGAGAGAGAGATAAGAGGATGAGGTGAGAGAGAGAAAGACAGAAAGAGATAAGCAATGAGGTGAGAGAGAGAGACAAAAGAGATAAGCAATGAAAGAGAGAAGAAAGAGATAAGCAATGAGAGAGAGAAACAAAAGAGATAAGCAATGGAGAGAAGAAAATGAGATAAGAGAGAGAGAAAGACAGAAAGAGATAAGAATGAGGTGAGAGAGAAAGACAAAAGCAGATAAATGCAGGTGGAGAGAGAAAGACAGAAAGAGATAAGCAATGCAGTGAGAGAGAGAAAGACAGAAAGAGATAAGCAATGAGGTGAGAGAGAGAAAGACAGAAAGAGATAAGCAATGAGGTGAGAGAGAGAAAGACAGAAAGAGATAAGCAATGAGGTGAGAGAGAGAAAGACAGAAAGAGATAAAGAAATGAGGTGAGAGAGAGAAAGACAGAAAGAGATAAGCAATGAGGGGAGAGAGAGAGAGACAGAAAGAGATAAGCAATGAGAGAGAGAAAAGACAGAAAGAGATAAAAGACAATGAGGTGAGAGAGAGAAAAGACAGAAAGAGATAAGCAATGCAGGTGAGAGAGAAAGAGAGAAAGAGATAAGCAATGAGGTGAGAGAGAGAAAGACAGAAAGAGATAAGCAATGCAGTGAGAGAGAGAAAGACAGAAAGAGATAAGCAATGAGTGAGAGAGAAAAGACAGAAAGAGAGAGAGAGAGAAAGACAGAAAGAGAAAGAGAGAGAGAAAGACAGAAAGAGATAAGCAATGCAGGAGAGAGAGAGAAAGACAGAAAGAGATAAGCAATGAGGTGAGAGAGAGAAAAGACAGAAGAGAGAAAGACAGAAAGAGATAAGCAATGGGAGAGAGAGAAAGACAGAAAGAGATAAGCAATGAGGTGAGAGAGAGAAAGACAGAAAGAGATAAGCAATGAGGTGAGAGAGAGAAAGACAGAAAGAGATAAGCAATGAGGTGAGAGAGAGAAAGACAGAAAGAGATAAGCAATGAGGTGAGAGAGAGAAAGACAGAAAGAGATAAGCAATGAGGAGAGAGAGAGAAAGAAGAAAGAGATAAGCAATGAGAGAGAGAGAAAGACAGAAAGAGATAAGGGGTGAGGTGAGAGAGAGAAAGACAGAAAGAGAAAGACAGAATGAGAGAGAGAAAGACAGAAAGAGATAAGCAATGAGGTGAGAGAGAGAAAGACAGAAAGAGATAAGCAATGAGGTGAGAGAGAGAAAGACAGAAAGAGATAAGCAATGCAGTGAGAGAGAGAAAGACAGAAAGAGATAAGCAATGCAGTGAGAGAGAGAAAGACAGAAAGAGATAAGCAATGAGGTGAGAGAGAGAAAGACAGAAAGAGATAAGCAATGCAGTGAGAGAGAGAAAGACAGAAAGAGATAAGCAATGAGTGTGAGAGAGAGAAAGAAGAAAGAGAGAAGCAAGAGGAGAGAGAGAAAGACAGAAAGAGAAAAGAATGCAATGAGAGAGAGAGAGAAAAGACAGAAAGAGATAAGACATGAGGTGAGAGAGAGAAAGACAGAAAGAGATAAGCAATGAGGTGAGAGAGAGAGACAGAAAGAGATAGAAAGAGAAAGACAGAAGAGATAAGCAATGGAGAGAGAGAGAAAGACAGAAAGAGATAAGCAATGAGGTGAGAGAGAGAAAGACAGAAAGAGATAAGCAATGCAGTGAGAGAGAGAAAGACAGAAAGAGATAAGCAATGAGGTGAGAGAGAGAAAGACAGAAAGAGATAAGCAATGCAGTGAGAGAGAGAAAGACAGAAAGAGATAAGCAATGAGGTGAGAGAGAGAAAGACAGAAAGAGATAAGCAATGCAGTGAGAGAGAGAAAGACAGAAAGAGAGAGAGAGAAAGACAGAAAGAGATAAGCAATGAGAGAGAGAGAAAGACAGAAAGAGATAAGCAATGCAGTGAGAGAGAGAAAGACAGAAAGAGATAAGCAATGCAGTGAGAGAGAGAAAGACAGAAAGAGATAAGTGAGAGAGAAAGACAGAAAGAGATAAGAGGGAGAGAGAGAAAGACAGAAAGAGATAAGCAATGCAGTGAGAGAGAAAAGACAGAAAGAGATAAGCAATGCAGTGAGAGAGAGAGAAAGAGATAAAAGAGTGAGAGAGCAATGCAATGCGATGAGAGAGAGAAAGACAGAAAGAGATAAGCAATGCAGTGAGATAGAGAAAGACAGAAAGAGATAAGCAATGCAGTGAGAGAGAAACAAAATAGCAAAGAAAAAGGGAAAAGTTCATTTTCAATTTAGACTGATATTTCTTCACTATAAAAATCAAATCAAATATATTTTCAGATAAAAATTAAACATAAAACACTATAAACACTGGAGAATTTATTGCATGTAAAGTAGCTGTTATATTTAATTCTGGTTGTGGAATTATTTGAAGTTTGTTTCTTTTGTATTTAATAAGAAAATGCTTTACAATAAAATTCTTTTGGCTAAATTTAAAAAATGACCTTGAATTTTATTACTTTCTCAAAGTATAAATAAAAATGGTTCCTTTATCAATGGAATAAATTTTATTTTCTTCTGAAATTATGTCTTTATAAAACTTGTCAGCGATTCATTTGACAAAGAAATTAGATAATTTTACCATGATGAATCAAATCCCAAAAACTTACCTTTAACTCAACCATCAAATGTTCAATGAGCCTTTCTGGCATTGCTCTTCCCAAGTATGTCATTACTCGTTTAATCTGTCAGACAAACAAAAGATACCCTTCTTAAAACACAAAATATTTCAAATATAAATATTTGGTTACATTTTAAACTATAACTATTTTGGACAGTGGAAACAATGCAGAAGAATTCATTTGCAATATGCCATTTACACATTGTGATAAAAATCAATGACTAAAAAGAAAACAATGTAATACATGTAGGAAGCATTTTGGCATGAAACAAAAATCTTATTTGAAAGTGAGTTTTTTTAATTTTTTGTTCTTGTGTAACCATTTCTGACAATGACAATATACAGACTATTTCCTATATACCTGCTGTTCTATATACAGACTATTCTCTGTATACATACTGTTCTACATATAAACTACATATCCAGGATATATATATATATATCCTGGTGCAACTTCAATATTATATTCCATATTTTTAATTCCCCCTTTGAGGGAATGAGAAAAAAAAACCTTTTCTGCTAACACTGATACAGTTTACATTTATTTTATGCAGTTAGGTGTGCAACAACAATGTTAATAAAACAATAAATCAAACCATGTAACTTAATTCAACTTGCTATTGATAAATATAAAGGCTTTATTTTTAAATTCACAAAACAGCAAAAAGAAAATGCAACAGCAATTATATATAAGAAAAATGCATTTGGAAATTATAAATGCTAATCATTTCTGAGTATTGAAAGTCTACTTACATATACTAAAAGTGTGCTAGAGGCCAGATTTGAAATGACCACCATATACTGAATGATCACTTGGAGATTATGTGGCCAACCCATTACCAATGCAGTCCATAGAGCTTCAGTTTCTTTTGGATGATCATCCCCAAACTGAAAAGAAATAAAATCTAATTGATGTCTCATTATAAATAAAATTTCTGAAACATTTGAAGGGGTACAATTATTTCACTTCTTATTGTTTTTATAGTAAACATTTTATTGATATGTTAGGTCACATGATGGACAATTATTTTTAAGATACACAATATATAAAATTAACAAATGAATATCTCTAAATGTAAATTCACAAAAAAAAATATATACTTAAAAATGGATAATGTTCAAGGTAGCAATTCAATAAGTAATCTTTGAAACAAAAAGTTTAGCCAGTGAGTATAGAAAGAGATACAATAAATACTTGTCAGCATTTGAAATGAAATTTTAAATAAATGAAAAAGAAATTAATCTCTGATTGTCCTGGTTAAAATTAATCTATTATTTTAAATAAAATTTAATGAATAGAAAAACAATTTTCTTTCATCTTCATACTTTGGTTTTAAATCATACAACTGTTATAGATGGGAATAACATTTTTAGAGAAGGATCATAAATTTATTTATCTTTAATAATTAACTAGTGAAAAATTTTGAACATGAAATATTACATTTTTTTAAGTATGACTTTTTGACATTTCTACTTAAAAATGCAATTGTAGATTGACAAACACTTTTATAAACCTTATTTGATGACAGATATGACTCCCATCTCAGCCCAAAAAATTTCTCCAAAAATATTTTCTGAGTTTTATTATGCAAAATTGAGATATCTGGTATGTTGATGTTCACCCAGATGCTGTACACTACTTGTATCTAGCCTAACTTAATACTGTAATACTAAATGTGAATGGTATGGGACTGTCATATCTGTCATTAGGTATGGTCATTACAGAAATCAGAGGTAAAAGTCTAACCTTAACACTAATATAAAATAAGTTGTTGAGGACCATCTCTGTTGCTTGGGTAGAACCCCAACCATCACCCTTTAGGGGTGATTTGAAGATAATCTCATTGTTTGTGTCCTGCTGGCAAAATATATTTGGTATTGTGTTGGCAGTACAGATATTTGGATCAACAAGTTCCATATTGTAAAGCCACGGCAACAAGCAATTGAGCAGTATTTGACGAAGAGCGGGTTTTGCTGTTTGGAACCGATGTGTGATTTCTGAAATTGAATGCAACAATTTTCATTAATACAAAATATTCAAAAGATAAGAAAAACAGAAAATTGGTTAATTTTAAATTATACCAAGTTTATTTTTCAGTTTATAAATCATTTTCTCTTTCTTAGATCATCAAAATGAGTTGAAAATTTCAGTTAACATAAATGGACAATATAAAGTTAATGCTGGTATGTGTATGCATTGTCAGTGTTCAGGAATAAACATTATGGTTGAACCAACCAATTGAATGATGTAAAGAAAGCTGGTTAAAGATGTTATTGGGTCAAGCAAATATTTACTGTGTATATGAAAGAATTTACAAACTGTGAATGGTGATAGATGATAAGAAGTCATTCAGTAAAATGGCAAAATCATTTAACCTGATGGATAACACAGGTTTTGTGGATACAGACTAAAAAATCTCTTGGTCATTCAATCATATAATTTGATAGTTTTTAGATGTTTTTTTTTGTTTGAGATATTTTTCAATTTCACAAAGTTTAATGCTTTCAATTAGAGATTAAACAACAAACAAAATCAATAGAAACAATTGATTTCTTATTAAAAATAGGTTTCTCCTGATGACACAGTAAGAACATTGGTCTTTGAAAGTGAAAAAAATTTGATGACCAAAATATTTTGCTATTTTTTCAAAGCAGTAGTGTAAAACAACAATGATTCATGTAAATTCTGAGTAAAATCTTGTTTCATGAAGATTATGCACCTGTTATTACATATCAATGGTTACTATTGTTAAGTACAAATTCTGTCCACAGTCCATTTTGATTCTCTGGATTTTTTCTCTGAACATAAAAAAGTTGTTCTAGTTACAGTGGTTTGGAAATTAATAGTAGGGAAAATAGCATTAAGTTTCTAATTTAAAAACTGAAAGAAACCAATTTCAAATGTTACAAGTTAAATGTTGATATATAATGATTGCTCCAGACTTACATCTTCACCTTGATTGTTTTTATCACAATGTTTTTCCAAGAATATTTCCAGGTGTCATATCTAGGTTTCTTCAAGGAAAGTTTAACAATGAACTTTATTTCAACAGTTGGATGGGAGTGGGTACATTGTTCCTATTTCTTTCTGTTACATTTAGGTGTTTTTAATTGTCATTTTTTTTTTTTTTTTTTTGTGATAACATTCTGCTGAGCTGATTTAGTCCTACATTGCTTGACTTTGCTATCAAGCTCAAACCTTCAGAAAATGAGAATAATGCTTTTAACCTCTAGGCCAGTATTTCCCAATGTTTTTTAAGCAATGGCACAACTAGGAGCAAATGAATATATCATGGCACACTTAACATTTAAATGTATACCCTTTAAAAATTTTGCTATGAAATAAAACCATAGATTTTTAAAAAATACACACACACAAACACAAATATGAACTTACTTTATTTCAATGTTTCTATTCAACTATTTGTGCAGCTTATTTAGTGTGAAAACCTGTGTCTGGTGTTTTTTCACAATATCTCCAATGTTTGAGCGAATGTGTAATAAGCAGATCCTCATTTCTTCTACAGTTGTGCATAGTATTTCTTGCTTCTTATTTTTTATGTTATTTAGGTTTGAGAAGCCTAATTCACATAAATAAGAAGTAATTGCAATAAAACTGATAAAGCCCTTTGTAGCTAATGTGGGTTTTATTCCTTTTGTATTGAAATCCAAAATATATCAATGGCTACCATCAAATATTTTATTTTGAGCCTTCAATCACAAGAAATGGTGGTTAATTCTTTTTCTTCACATAGATGATGTCCAATATTAGAAGGAATATTTATGAAGGGATTTTGAATCCAATCATACTTTCATGGCATACTTAAGAGGATCGTGTGACACACTAGTGTGCTGTGGTATGGCGGTTGAGTATTACTGCTCTAGGCTATATCTCATGCAGTATCATTTTTGACCATCAGTCATTTTTAATCAAGATCTCCATATGGTGTTCAAGTCTGTACTAGGATACTAACTGAATCTTTTGGCTAAAGCATGTATGTTACTTTTTTTAATGACCTTATATGCCTGTATTATTTCTTGGTTATTGTTTTAATTTAGTCTCATAGAAATAATTTATTCTTTTCTTTGTGCAAGTTCAGCCAATACTGATTTCACAGACAAAGGCTTTTCAATATTCTTCAAGCCTTCATTTACTTGGTTTTTACTTGCATATTCTTTGCCACAGTTGCATGAGATTGTGTCTACAATATTTTTTGGTCATATTTTCCTCTAGTGTATGGCTAAACTTAGTGTAGTGGATGTGTAGAGTAATATTGCTTTTGTATATTATCTTGAAGCTGCTTTAGGTACAAATCCTCGAATTTGTTTCTAATGTGTCTCTGATGTAAAACTAAGGAAACTTTGGTTGATTTTTGTAAATATATCTACCACAAAGTGAGGGTAAATTAATTTGAATACATTTATGGCAGTGATTTCTTCAAAGAGTGACCCTCATATTAAAGATTACAAGGGCCAACAGCAATTTTCAGAAAGATTAGTAGCAAGGAAGTAAGATGCTAGTTTACAAAGCAATTACAAAAAAGGCTATCACATGTCCACTGAAACACAAATATAGCACATAATGGGAATCCCCTGTGTATATAAATATAATACTACTTATCTCCCAATGGTGGATGAGGGTGGGGGTCTCAATCTAGTCAATTTTATCCACCTACATTGAGTTTATTTTTTTTAATCTGAGGAAGTCTTAGATGAAATTGGTTGAAATGTCATTGGGATCAAAGGGGACAAGTTATAAGAGAAATATAAGAAAGCAACTTTCAGGGCAGATAACCAATTCTTGTTTGTAGAAACAATAACAGAAATTATTTGTTGAGGGTTACAGTTTCTGTATTGCTATGATTAACCTAACAAAAACTGGGTGTCAGCAATTATCTTTCGATCTGCAGTGTTTGTCTCCAATTGTTCTTCTCAAGCATTCTATTTGCAAACAAAAACTTCTTAAATTGGGAGAAAATTTTTTCAACTGACAGGATCTTTACAGGCAGTGTCTTATTAGGAATGGTTGTGTAAGTAGCAAAGTGGTGATGTCAACTTGTAGCATTTTTCTGACAACTAAATTGTGACTGCTATTGCAAATGCAACTCTACTCTCTTTACAAGAAATGATATTTACATTGTAGAACAAAAAAAAGAATATTTTTAAATGGAATTTAAAAAAAATGCTTTGAATTCATGTGTTTATTATAGACATTCTCTGTTTATTTTTAGCTTCCACAATTTCTTTTATTGTCAAATAGTAAATAAAAATATCTAATTATAGAAACATGTGATTAGCAAGATTTCTCAGCAATCTAGATACAAAATAGATTATTATGTAATACTTGCTTTGAAGAAAAATGTCCAAGACCATTCTAAAACCATTTTGTTTTAAAGAAAGCCATGTATTTGACAATAGAGGCATCTTCATAATAGTAGATACCATATATACTCATGTATAAGAGGACTTCATGTATAGTGCTAACCCCTGAATTCTTGGCATGAATTTTAAACCCTCAAAAATATTTACCTAGCTATAGTGCAACTGGTCACTGAAAATGCATGATTTTTAACCTCTTCAAAAAATAAAACAAAAAATTACCTGTGTATAGTGTGATTTTTTTGTATTAAAAACTGATCATAAAAAATATTGCACTATACACAAATATAATGTAAGGCAATAATCATGAATTCATTAAGACCTCCAACAATTAATTACAGTATATTAATAAAAAGATTTTTTCATACTTCAATGATCTCAAATGTCATTTATTTTGAATTTGACTTAGATTCACAGGAGATTCAGAAAATTAGAAACTGAATATTAGCAAAAAAAAAAAGAAAAAAAAAAATACTGACCTGAAAACATTGGCATTGTATAGTCTGGATGGAGAATAGCCAATTGTTCTGCTAAAACCTCCTGAGATCGAGAATAAAATGTTGCAAATTGAATATCATTGAGGGGAGCTTTTAATACTTGTTGCTGGAACATTTCATCAAGGCTGTCAGTGAACACTGGATCCTCTTGGAAAAACCTGGTATCTAAAAGTTGCAGAAGCTGAAGAGCTGTTTCATGGATCCTTAAACGAGGATTTCCAACATTTATTACAGCTAGATTCAACATTGACACATGATCACATGGATATTCCCTGAAAATAATGGAACAAAGGAAGCTTACCAAAACACAGAAGACTTGATCTACACCCACAAAATAATGCACATCTTTTCCAGCATAGGCAATTTCCAAAGCTTTCAAATTAACTGTTATGAAATAGAGTAATCTCTGGAATAGATGCTGTCAAGTCAACAGATGATAGCTTGTCTGGCATTTGCTCTGGTGTTCTGCTTTTATAACAGTATCTCATTTATATACAATACTACACCTTCCTGAACTGATATGGCCTTATGCCCTTCATTGACTTCTAATTTTTCTTGGGAATCTAAACTGTCTTTCTTGATGTGTATCTTGATTTCTTCTTATAGGGAATCTAGGTCAGAGTTCATTTTCCTCTTCTGACTCCTCGTCATATTTCTGTTCATCATCATCCATAGATTGTTCAGTTTTACTACTGGATTCATTAGTCCCCTCCTCTGCTTCATGTTCTTCACCTTTTTCATCCATTTCTATATCCTTGGGTTCCATTCTGTTTCTGAACTGATCCACTTGGACCAGTACATTTTGTCTATTAGTATTGCTGTATTGTGTCCTTTCTGTACTACAAAATTTGCATTCTCTGGATTAGATTTTTTTTTTTTATACCATACACTTTGACTTGTTGAAAATGATATTGTTATGGGAGCTCAAATCTGTCTACCTATGAATGCAGAGGGACTTTGTAGTCTGCTGGCATGTGGAATTGTCCTATAGCTTAACAGTAATCTTGATATGTAACTCTATATTATTATTAGATGGGGAAATGCTTTTAGTCCCATCCCATAGTCTGCACCATTCTTTCTGTGATTCCATTTGATTGTGGGTGGTGGAGTGGTATTTTATATGGGATGCATCCAATATGCTTTAACCACAAGCACAAACTTTCCTTGTAAAATTCTGGCATGTTATCTGAGACTAAAGTTTTAGTCACCCAATTCCTTGAAAATATTGTTCTTAATATTTGTTTTATAGTGGTAGCTTTTCTTTTTAATTACTTCGGGCCATCCTGAAAATGAGTCCGCTAAAATTAAAAATAGTCCCATGCCTTTAATATGGCCATGATCAATGTGTACCTGAGCCCATGTTTCTTTTTCTTTAGGCCACAAGTGAATTTTATTTTGCTGAAAGTTTTTTTTATTTCAGCCCATTTTGGGCATCTTGTTACATAGTCTTCTACATCTCGAGAATATCCTGGCTACCATACTTATAATTTTGATCTCATTTGTGTTGCTGTTATACCACAATGTACATCATCATGTACACCTTTTAGTACTTCTTTTCTTAAACTTTGTGGGGATATAATATCTCCATTACATATTATGCTTTTCTATACAGTTAACTTATGCCTTGATTCTTTGTAGGGTCGTTTCTGCCATTGAACAATTGCTCTATGTGCTTCTTTCTATCCTGTCTGAAATTCTACTTTTCATTTGAGATGATTTAGGGGTAACATGTCCATTTCAACCCAGTGCAGTATTTTATCTTCTGAATTTTCAGATGCTTCTAATTTTTTATTGTCGAAATTTAGTCTGGATAGCACATCCACTTGTAGAATAGTGTTCCCCTTTATGTATATGATGTTGAAATCAAAGGACATGAGTTTCATAGCCATTCTTAACATTCTAGCAGATGTGACTTTTAGTAATTCCTTTCTGGGGTTAAATATAAACTCTAATGGTTTGTGATTTGACTTTAACAAAAGTTTTTGTCCTAATAAAAAATTTTGAGCTCTTTCTGTGCTTCATACTATTGTTAATGCTTTTTTCTCAATATTTCAGTACTTAGCTTCAGCTGACATTAATTTTCTTGACAGGTACATTATTAGATGAAATTCTTGAAATAAAACTGCAGCTACAGCATGTTCACTTGCATCCGTAGTCAATATCACTTCTTTTTTTGGGATCAAAGATTTTTGCAATTGGTTTTCTTATTAGTGCCTTTATTAAGCTTTCAAAAGCTATATTTTACCTTTGAGTCCATTTAAATTCTGTATTTTCAGTAATTCTGCAAATGGTTCTTTCAGGTCGCTGTATATAGGGAGTTATTTGCTATAAAAATGGGTCAATCCCCAAAAGGATTCTAATTTTTTTTATTTTGGGTGAAGATACTTCTGATATTTTATTTATCAGTTTATTGTCTGGTGAAATTCCTTCTTTAGATATTTAGTATCTCAAATATGATATTTTGTCACAATTTAATTCACATTTATCACCATCTATTGTCATACCAGCATTTTTTAATTTGTTTAAAACTCGTTCATTTTTTTTTAATTCCTCTTTACTGTAAGCACCTATGCCTATATTGTCTTGATATAGGACTATACTTTTTACTCCCTCTGATAGAACATTTTCAATTGCCTTTTGAAAAATATGGCTTGAAGTCTTAACTCCAAATGGAAGACAAGCCCATCTTAGTAAACTTATCGGGGTGTTAATTGCAGTAACTTATTTAAATTTTCTGTCAAGTTATATTTGGTTATATGCAGATTTCAGGTCAATCTTCGCAAAGTATTTAATTCCTGCTAATTCATGACTTGTGTTATAAAATAAAATGACATATCTCGGCTGATTTACAGGCAAATACTCGAGCGAGAACCGGATGTGAACGGGACAAAGCCCCGTCACAAAATGACCATTAACTTTCTTTACAAATGTTTCCGACACACGTGTTCCGGTCGAAAAATAAAATAATAATTAAAGTGCTCTATTTTCCGTCCAATAAAAAAATGCTTCTCCTAATTATACTCACTTCGTTTCTCGAGCCTGTTAAGCCATAAAAAAACGCTATAAAAGGGGTCACAGGGAAGTTCAGCAGCAGTCAACAGGTGGCCACAAAGGAGACCGGTCACGTTTAGCAGCTGTCAGCAGGAGAGCGTCAACCACCGTCAACATGTGTGAACTACTATGAGAGATCGACCTAGATCCGAAAGCCGGCTTATGAACTTTACCACACCAAGGTAGCTGTCCTAAACCCTTACGTTCCTGTTGAAATAAACCACGTAAATCTATTTCTACTGTTGTCGTATTTCTTTCTTGCAACCATACGCTTGTCTATAACACTGGTGTCACAGGTGTACAGCAAGAGAAATATGGCCGACTACACAAGCTTCACCTGAGCCGAACTATTTACTCTCATCAAGGAATAGAAAACACTGCTATTCAACTTGAAAACGGGACCAACACAGCCTTCCGAAGCCACAATACAGGAAATTCAAACCGACATAAACAACATGCTGACTGTCCAAAAAACTACTTCAACACCTCCCACCGCTCAAACAAAACGGCGATTACAGCTTAATGATGCGCCAACAAACTATACGACACATTGAAGCTAGAAAAACTTTTCACCCTGGACACGACGTGAACCGATTCATCACAGCCCTAAACAAAGCATACACAATCCACGTCACGCCAGAACTCAGCACCTATCCCAGCCTGGAATGCGAATTCGTCAAGTCTGCTAAAGATTTACTGGACCAAAGTATTTTTTCAGCAAATGGTTGACTCAAAAAAGGACATATCCACCTTCGAACAACTGAAGGAATACTTATTAGGAGCCCACGGAAGCCAGATGACTAACTTCCAACACCTCAGTCAAGCCTGGGACCTGGAACAGCGAGATGGCGAAAAATTAACAGACTTCGCGGGTCGACTCGAAAACACTCTTAGAGAGGCAGCCGTCTACATAAAAAACAAATACAAAAAAGACAAAAATACAGACTTAACAGTCGATGGACTTATTTCCATCATTGGCGCTATGCTAATGAGTGAAAAGGTGAAAATTTGGAACTCAAATCTCTACCCACATCTCGTCAAGACAATGAACAACCACTATTCAGCCATTGGCATAGCCTCCGAAGCTCAAATATACCTTGATCGCGGCGTAAAACCCAACGACACAACTTCGCACGACACTGTGTACTTCACACAGAAACCACAGCAGTCAAACCAAAGAAACGCGCCACTCCGACCTAGCAGGCAACCAAACCCACAGCAGACGGGCCTCACCAACCCTCCCGAACATGGCCACCATCTGATACGCAGAAACCATCAGCACACACCACGAATCAGCGTGTGCAAGAACTACCTCAGAGGTCGCCCCTGCTTCCATGGATGCAAATGTGTATATCGCCACCCACCTCGCACTCGGGCACAGGCCCATATCGCCGCAACGAATGACAATATACAAGCCATAAATAATGTGGAACAGGATTTTTGCTTCGGGCAGGACGAGATGTGATGCCTTGTTCGCCATGCCCCTACATCAGCCATCACACCTTCAACTTTCAAGGACTCGCTCACCATTCACCGCTCGTCCAGTCCACCTTCAACTTCAGGGACATTACCTTCTCTGGCATAGCAATGCTAGACTCTGGATGCTCCACATGCATCGTACCAATATCTCAGTTACCCAGAGAAGTCAAGAAACTCATGACCCGCTCCGAGATTGTAATAAAAGGAATCAACGGCAGCACCACTGCCCTCGGCGAACTGACTTGCGACATCACCATCGGCAGTCTAGACTCACCCACATTCAAAAAGGTTAATGTGCTGGTAATTACCCAAACCACACCAATCCTGATTGGCCAAAATATCCTACGTCACAACACGCTCGATTCCTATCTAATCGACAACCAAAATGCGACTATAGAATTCAGACGCACACTTTCCTCAGGATATACAACACACACAGCCGCAATCATATCACCGTCATCGTCAACCAACGATCCAGCATATGGCGCCCAAGCTGACATCATCCTAAACCAGCCTACTATGGAACTACCGCCCAACATCCAGACACTGGATCAAAAGCTAACCTGGCTAAAACATAACACGGGACTATCGCTACTAAACCACCCGAACTGAGATGAACTAGAGGCCACTGCAAACTTACTCATTCGCTACGCTGACATTATCGGCACCGAAAGCAGCAGCAAAGGCACATTCATCCAACCCATCCGCATACCAACCAACGGCCAGTCTCGCAGCCAGAAAC